TAGAGGATTTAATTAAATATAATAACCTTATTTGGTGTACTAAAAATATAATTATCTATTATTTTCTTCAAGAAACAAATGACATAATACTCACATTTTTTAGTTCCTCGTTAATGAGGAACTTATAAATAATTGTTGAGTTATTAAGTGTTTTTTACATTGGTGTTTACAATTGATAAAATAAAATAAACATACATACCATGAATGTAACCCACATTATTTTTTTTATTATGAATAATCAATCCCCTGAACCAACAATAGAATATCCACACATTATACTCCTATATCCACTATAAATATAATAGAACTAATTTCACATAAAAAAAGATAAGTACTTTTTTATTATACTTTTGAGTTCTTTTGATGGTTTATAGTTACCCTTCCTTGAGTTAAAAAGGTAAACTATATGATTTATAAAGTTAGTTATAACCAACTGTTAATGACTCCTGTGTAAATTAATTAAGTATGGATTAAAATGTTGAAATATATGATTTTTTACTATTTTCAAATCAATATAAAACAATGTATGGTAATTAAGTACCAATTTATTCATATATTAAGGTATACCATGAAAACATACATAGGATTATAAGGTGTAAAAAAATATTGAGACTTTTTTCATTGCAAATGTTAAAACAATGAATGATTCAAAAATAGACCTCTTACCACTGGATATGTGATTTTGTTCAATAAAATTATAAACAGTAGTTAACTATCACTCTTTCATATGCTTGTAAAAGAGATTACAATGAAAGTAAAAGTAAATTGTAATATGGGTTTATATTATATATGAATGAATATATTTTATATATTATAATAAATATATAAACTAACCTCATGTACGTTACAATTTTTGTAATTGATATTTTCATCATTGCATAAAATCTTATTATTTTCTCTTATCTAATCCATTAATATGTTGAATAATGAAATAATCATTCTTTGATTACCATGTTAATTAGTCCTTCACCTACTAATTGATGTTTTACATATTGGACAAGTACATGCATCCTAATGGGAGGTGGGGGCTGGTTATTATTAGTCTCTAAAATCTATTACATACAAAATTCAAGTGTATTCACATCAAATCAAATCACAATAACTTTATAACCTAAAACATTAATTTGAAGGTTTAAATGTTTCAATTACTTAAGTCAAAAAGTGTAGCCTGAGGATTTGTTTTTCTAAAGCTTCATTTATATCTACATTTCTCACATTCTTAGTAATTAATTAACCCACTATGTTAGCTATCAGAACTACCAATTAAGCCTCAAATTCTTCAATGCATACAATTTGTTAAGCTATTATAGCTGCTAATTCAGTAGTATTCGATATATGAAGTTTAGGTTTTGTTTTGAAATACATTATTGACAAACAAAGCTCTCAATACCTCTAACACGGTTAGGTCTATCTTTACTACTGAAACCCAATGTCACCACATCAATGCTATCACCAATTTCAATTTCATTGATTGAACATCTTATAACAAATTTATCATAAAACACAAAATGCTTATGTAAGTTAATATGATATATAAACATGGATAATGTTGAAGTAGCAAATAAGATATATATGAACTTACCATCCTCTTTGTCATTTCTTTTGTTACTTCATAATTATATTGTTCACTTATTGATGCATGTGCTTTTTTTCAAACATTCTATCTTGATATTTTGATACTTCATTTTAATGTTTTTTACTACCATATAAAAATATAAGTTATCTTTGTAATATAAATTGAAATTCAAATAAATTTAACCAAGTTTATAATATAAAATTAAAAAAAAACCTTATAAGTCCATGCTTCACACTTGTATAACCTTTTCTTGATGTTTTATGGTTATACTTTTTTTAGAACTTTATTTTCTACTATGATTTTTTTTTTGCAACAAAATAGGATAAGAATTATTGCATATTAAGAACCTATGAAACTAACAAATTTAATAACAATTGCTTTTCAATAAATATCTACATTTAAAAAGGATTGTTATGCATACATTGAATTCATATGATAACTGAGCTAAAACAAATTTTGTCTATATTGCATTATTAATTATTTCTGAATATATGGTTAAGAAATGAGCCAAAAATTCAGAGTTGTCAACACTAAATAATATATATTTTTGAGTTAATTTGCCTTTAAAGTTTTTGAATTTTAGACTAGCAGATTGCAATATAATCTTCATATACATCATAGGTACATTAAAACGCTCCTATAAAAAATGAAATACATTGGAATAAGGCATTGTAATTGTATTCTATAACCAATAAACATCTAAAAAATAATAACTTTTATTTGATTAATATAACTTACCACAATCGATTCTCAAATTTTTTTTCATTGCTGGAACTTTCCTCTAACTATTGTAGTTAATAGATATCGACTTTTAGACGAGACATCCAATATAGCTATCCATCTTCGACCTACTACTAGTATAGGTTGGCTAATAATATAGAACTCTATCTATATTTTCTTCCTACTTGATTCTTACAACTTAGATCATCCTCTAGCTTTCCTTTTCTTTGAAGATGATGTGTCAACAAAATGAGTACTTAATTCTTTATAATGTCCTATCGTAGGAAAGACATGTTTTTCTTTATGTTCATTTGGGGGACACATGTGTTTTTTAGAATTCATTATATCTCAAAAAATTGATAACTCTAAAAACAAATATTGAATGGAAATAATATCAAAAGACTTTAAAAACCTTTTTTTTTTTCTCATATTGTAAATCAATGAAATGTTGTGGTTTAAAACAATAAGGTGGCGACAACGATGATAATGGATAAAATGATTTGACAATGAGAGCGTAAAGATGAAAATATGTAACAAAAATATGAGACATCTTGGAATGAAGATACGTTGATGCAGACACCGAATAATATATAAATTTAAGGGAAACAAGTTGAAGTAATTAAAAATATAGCTTTAAATACTTCATTTATAATGATCAAAATATCGTTAATATCAATATTAAGGCGTTTATAAAAAAGAAAAATACCGTGCTTATCAAATATAATGGCTAAAACGTTGTGCTTATTGATTATTAGGACGTTTTGTAAAAAGAAAAACATCATCCTTGTTAAATATTATATTTTATTTAAATAATTGGTTTTAGAATAATTTAAACACTCATTTATTGTAAGCAAAAAGTCATGCTTATCCAATATTAAGACGTTTATAAAAAGAAAAACTTTGTGATTATCAAATATTAAGTTTTGTTTAATTAATTAATTTTATGATTATTCAAATACTGTGTTTATAATGATTGAAATGTTATGCTTATCCAATATTAGGATGTTTATAAAAAGAAAAACTTTGTCCTTGTTAAATATTATGTTTTATTTAAATAATTGGTTTTAGAATTATTTAAACACTCGTTTATAATAAGCAAAACTTTGTGCTTGTCCAATATTAAGGCGTTTGTAAAAAAAAAAGGTCGTGCATGTCAAATATTACTTTTTATTTAATTAATTGATTTTAGGATTATTCAAATATTGTGTTTATAATGATCAAAAAGTTGTGCTTATCCAATATTAAGGAGTTTATAAAAAAAAATCATGCTTGTTAAATATCATGTTTTATTTAATTAATTGAATTTTAATATTATTCAAATATTGCATTTATAATGACTGAAACACTTGCCAATCTAATATTAGGGCATTTATAAAAAAAAATATTATACTTGTTAATTAAATATTACTTTTTATTTAATTAATTAATTTTAAGATTACTCAAACATTACTTTTATAATAACTAAAACGCTGTGCTTATCCAATATTAGACTCTTTTTTACTTAATAAATATTGTCCTTATTTAGTATTTATTATTATTTTTTATTTTTTATTCATAATATATGACATTTATTAATGAAAAAAAATAAACATTTTATTACTTTTTAAAGGAATAAATTAATAAAAAATAAAAATATTATGAATCTGTAACTATATATACGACGAATTAGTAATATAATTAAATAAAATATTAAATAATATATTCTTTCTATATTATAATATTTATCACTTATTATTTACATGTAACGAAGGACATTAGAGTAAAAAAATTTTATTATATAATTCGACATTCCTAAAACTAAATATAAAAATTTAACATTTTTATCGTAAGAATAATCGCCCATTTCCTTAAAACAAATGCTCTGTGAGCTTTTGAAGTAAAATTCACTTATCAAAGAAAAAAAAAAAAAGGAAGAAAAGCATAAACCTTTACATGTAAGTTACAAAGACCTGGGAATAATATTGGCAAAAAATGATAAAAAAGACAAGAAAAAAAATATAAAAACAATTACCCTTTTTATAATTTTTTATAACTTAAGATTTCCTTTTCATTACTTATTTTATTCTATAATATCAAACAATAAAAATTTGGTGTTACATTGCATCTTTTTCTGATCCCCAGCTAATTTTTCTCTTTTCCCCGCACATGCATTTCTTTTCCTTACTTTCTTTTTTGACGACATCACTGCCCCATTCTCTAGGCTACCATTTGTCCACCAAGATTCTGCCAGCGTGGTCTAATTCACATCCACATCCCCTCCATATTTTTTATTTTACAATTACTGTGATTTGATGATCAAGTAATTTGTCCGTTGTCCCTGCCAATGACATGTGCTACATATGTCCAGTTAATATCTCACCAACGTGTCTTATCCTCATTGCTGATGATGTCTAATCTCTTTGTCATTCCACAAATTTTTTTTCCACAACAAAGTTTGAAAGTTCATATTTTTCAGGGGCCCCACGTTGATATAATGCGCGCAAAGATGAGTCTAGGTTCTGCTTTTTTTCCTGGAAAGCTGCATGCTTTGGCATAAAAAAATATAATCCTAGTTGGTCGGGAAAAAAACACCAGGATTTAATTGATTACGATGGACAACACGAGCACATTGTCCCTGTTGTTTTACCTAATCACGCTGATTATTTTGAATTAGTAGATTCATCGTATCGATTATAGTTCTCTAATACAGCAATTGAAGCACCAGTGACAAAAAAGGATGGGGACTCGTATATTCGAAGGAATATAGATTTACAGACCTAAAAAAGGCTTCAATGGGTGTTATTATTCCATATTACTCATTACATATGGAATAGGAAACTGTCCTAGCTACGATATTAACTTTACAATAAGCTAGACTCGTAGACGAACTCACTTTCATCAAAATGAAAATCATTTTCAAAGTCCAATTTGAAATTCCTAGAAGTGATTTTGGTTGAATACACGTTACAGACCCCATCCCCATAATCAGACCCCATCCCAACTGGCTCAGAGGAGTATTCAAAACCACCACTCATTATATCCTTCCACTTGATAGAATCCAAGTCTGTAAGATCACTCGGCGTTGTCTCTTCCTTGGTTTCCTGCTTTACCGTCGGAGTGGTTGGTGGGTTCAAGTGATGATGCTGTTGTTTGCTTGGGGTTTCTGAGTCGCCAGAAGTGACCATGTAAGATTCCCAAGATTCAGAATCTTTGATGATTTGGGGAGCCTTGAATGAGTCTCGGCAGGTGTGGGTTCCAATATAAGTGGTCTGATACATTTGGGAATCATCTTCCATTCTTTGGACTTGTTTGGTGGCTCTACAACCTTGATCATACTTGCGAGTGCACCTAAAGTAACTCCTGTTGACGATAAGCAGCACATGATTAGGTTTCCTTAAACTTGAGAAATGCATGTCTTGATTAAAAAATGTAAGGCTATTTCCTTTTGTCCTAGTACCTATTTTTTTGGGTACAAAGGAGATGCAGCCTGTGAATAAGGGTGCCTATTTGAGTACAATACTTCCACAAGTATTGACTCCTAATTTTTCAACTTTTTTCTTTTTCTTACTCAAAAAGGTTTAGTTTCAGTACATTTGATTGCTTTGAAGAGAAGATATATTTAAAAGAAAATAATAATAATAATAAGAAAAAATTAGAAAAATAAACCATATTGGCTTTAAGGTTCATTTTATAGAAGGGAATCAATCTGTTTCAATTTAATTGTCTAATGTGCATTTGTTGAATGAATTACTTACTAAACAGGAATAAAAGAGAAATAAAATGAATTATACCTAGGGTGTTTAGAATTGAGGATCTCCTTTTGTCCATACTTCCTCCAGGCATGACCATCTTCCATTGTGGTAGAAACTAGTGTCCATGTCAGTGCAGATCTTCTGCAAGCACAAACATCCAATTAGTCATAGAATTATGGAATGAACATCCAAAAATTCTCTTCTTTCTTTGGCTTGGAAAAGAATCTTACTTTCTCTTGTAACAACCTCTCCTATCCTTGGAGGCCGGTCTCTTCCTGCTCTCACTAGAATCTTCAGACCTCCGGTCATCACAACATGGGGAATCATCATTAGAAGTTGCCTGATTCTGAGAAATCTCAGCAGAGTCACAACAACTCAGCACAGAAAGTGTCTCATTGAAAGATCTCAGGATCTTTTGCACAAGTTCCTGCGCTGAGAGTCGCGCACCTTCTTCAAAGGACTTGTGAAAAAGGATCTGAAGCTGGGTAGCACACTCTTGCCCATGAATAAGTTGTTGTATCACCCTTGTCTTGTTGCTTGACAATCTTTCAGGCCAAGGAGAAACGCTACCCATAATTATTAAATGTCAGCAAAGAAAAAACAAAAACTGGAAACCTGTTCTTCCTTATTTTTGGCTTTGCTCACTCCTGTTAAATATATATAGGTGAAAGGACAGAAGAGATAAGATTTTAAGACGGAAAAGATAGAGATGAGGAAGGAAGGGGGGAAGCAAATCAAAGGAAATTGTAAGGAAGTGGGGGTGTGATGTGAAGTGGGAAAAGAAAAGATAGAAAACTCCCCCTTAATGGTGACAGAAGCAAAGTGACGTTTGAGCATGATGGGAGGTAATACCAACATTTTCTTTTGTTTTCTTTCTCACCTGGTAAAGTTTAATTTGCAATTACTTTTGATTAATTCTTGGGGGATAAAAAAATGCAGTTGTTGATAATAAACAATTCCATTCCAAGTCATCATTTGATCTAAAAATAACATGGACTGAGAGTACAAAAAGTATTTATTTTTGTTTGAATTTCAAGGGTCGGTAGGTTAGCTGTCATAGATTATTCCATATTATTTTTCCTCGGTGGTGCATCAGGTTGCTACTGTAAAATATTGGAAGATAGAAGAAAGATGTGATGGTAATAAGATGAAATTGGTAGTTACATTGGATTACTACATCACGACAAATAAAGAAAAAAAAAAACAGAAATAGAAGAATTAGAAAAGAAAGTAAAGGGTGGCCACTAAAACTCAACAACACAAACAGTTGAATAATTGAATTGTGAATGATAATGAGATGAGTGCGGAAGGCAATGCATCGAGGGAGCTTCCATGAGTTTTCCTTTCCTTGCTTCTAGATCAACATATTCCCAATTTTTTTTTTCTTTTTGACTAATGCCCTCTATCCATCCATTCGTTTAGATTTTAGCAAAGATTATGTTGACTGCTTGGTCAAAAGTAGAAAAGGGTTAACGTTAAAATTTGAAACTTAGCATCCCAAAATAATTAGAAAAGAACAAAAAGAATTTTGGCGATGTCAAGCCTAATTACAAACAATGATATACTATATTGTCCATTTCAATCAATTTTTCTTAGTTCTAGTGACAAGAAATTTATTTTTTATAAAAAATATTTAGTTTTGAGTCTTATGAATAAAAAAAATATGTTTTAAAAAATTTATTTTTTATTGAATTTGATTCAATTTTGAATTAATCGAAACTCAAAATTATTATTAAACACGAAATTTTAAACCAAAAAAAAAATATATTATCCGTTTCAGATTGATTATTAGATTTCTTGTTAAATTGGTTAGTCTGACTAGTAATTCATTCATAAAACACAAACAATAATTTTTCCTCGATACATTATTGGATTTCAAATACTACATTTTTAATCACTGAAATTTAAAATTTTATTTTAAAAGTCACGAACTAATAACGGTTAGACTTTAAAATTTTATTTTAAAAATCACAAGTTAGAATATTGAGAAATAATTTATAAGAAGAGAATATATTATCAAAAAACTCAAATCAATATATATTATTGGATGGGAAATTACACTTAATAAATACATACAATTTTTTATTTTTCTTAGGGTAGTGCACAAATGGGCTTGTAATGAACCAATTTTGTTGTTATCTTACCCAATAGGCTAATGCCCATCACCCAGCCCACCATATCAGCAAGAGCGAGCCGAGCGGAACTGGGGAAAGGAAATGCAGATTACCTGGCTCTATTTCTGGCCATGAGAATGCTATCATCATCTATGCCACTTCTCTAACTCATATCTAAGTCTCGTCTCTCTGGTCTTGCGATTTCTCTCATTCTCACAGGATGAGGATGACACTGTCCGAGTGCTTCTCTGGGCCCATGGCTAACCCGATACGTATTTCGCCTTCGTACCAGGCCCAACCCCAGGAACCCGATTCACACTCACTTTTACAAATTTGCTGATATCCGCAAACCCTTGAAGCAACTATGCCAGAACCTGCTAATCCTCAATTCTTCATCATTTATTTATTCTCTATAAAATGTTGCTGTGCTTTATTCATTCAATTGTTATAGGATAAGCTGCTTTTAACATTTTAACGAACGTTGGTTGATAACTAGGGGGAGTCTTATTTTCTGTTTTACTCTGAATTCTGAAAGCATGAAAACTTTCATTTTTAAATAAAAAATATTTTTTTATGATATCCAAACTCTCTGCCATTGGTGGAGAATATAAAATAGCAGAAATTTTGAATATTTTTATGCTTTTTGTTATGGAATGCCAATTGATCATGATTGTTCTTGGATTGTTCTCTATGGAACATATTTTTCTGTTAGGAATTTTTCTTTGTCTATTTATGCATATTCTTTTACGTTCATGCCATTTCTAGCTTACCGAGCTGATCCCATTAGCGTGTTTCAGGTGGCATCATTCTTGCCCCTGAAGATATCAATGGAAGCATTTGCGGCACACGGTAATCAGTGGAAAGAGTCCTTGGATTCGTCCAAACTGATGACCTCCTAAAGGGGTTAAGGCAGATGGAATCACCGGTAAGTCCTAAGCAGGAAGCTATCCATCATGGACACTGTAGTAGTTCTCCTCTTGCAGCAGGTGAGGATGCACCCTTTTGATGGGACCATGTAAGAGGTATTTTCTTTAGAAGCAAAGCAGTGGGTGGCCCTCTTTTTTTTTTTTTTTTTTTTATATGGTTTATGTTAAGTGAATCTGTCATTTCTCGACCTCTTTTATAAAATGTTTTCTTTTGTTCATTTTTAAGCAGATTGTTGCTCTTGGAATTCCTGATGTATCAGCGATTGAAAGGCTTGGAAAGTATGTTAGCCAAAGATTGGAATGCTTTGATCAGTGATCCAGATACTGTGAGTAACCAAACTTTGTTTCAGATTTTTGGTCACTCCATTGTGATTTACTGATTTGCCTTGCAGGATTTCACATTTCATTTTTTCGTTTGAGTTCTCTGTCTATTTACTCTTCAAAGTTCAACTCCTTTTTGTCTTCAAGCTTTTCTCTTTCACGTGTAGGTTTTGATTGGAAGGCTCTTCTGATCATTTAGAGATCTCACAAGCTTTCCTATTTTGAGTCAGCAACCTCATGCTTGGCATAAGAATGTGTTTATTCTGTTGTGGCACTTTGGAAGAGTATTAGTAGTATTTAAGAGTTTTTGTTTCTTACTCAGGTTTATCTGGTTAGACTGCAATGGAAATGTTTTAAGTTCTTCCTGGCAAAATTATAATTTTTATTGATATTTTCCTTATTTTGTTGAGAAAGCAAGCTTGCAAGATTAAGAAATGCACTTTATGTTCCTTAAGTACTTTGATTTTGGATGTTTATTGTGCCAAACTCATTAAAATTGATAAGTTAAAGTTTTGACTTGCTACTTAGTGTATGTGTGTCTGTCATCAGGTTTCTGATGTTCCTTGTGGTTTCAACTGCAAACTCATTTGAATTTAATTTTAAGCCAGTTAGCAGGTTAAGGCGTCAATAAATGGCGTTCTTTGAGTTGAAAATTGGCAATAAATAATAGCGACTTGTCATGCTACCAAAACTTTCAACTTTGTTTTGATTAGTTTTGAACAAGTCGCGACATTTTAGTCAGAAAAAAAAAATAATTGAATGCACCCTGGCCCCATTTTTATGACCTTTTAGAGTTAGTGGAGGGATTGGACTTGATTTTTTTCACTGATCTTGTTGCTTATTTTACTTGTACTTAGGTGGTAATTGATGTTTGCAATAACTATGAAACTATAATTGGGGTGTTCAAAGAATCCGTTGATCCATATACTAAAGCATTTCGAGAGTTCCGATCTTGGGTGGAGGATCAGTTTCAACCTGATGGTGCAGATGTGGAGCATGCAAAGGTGGAGAAGAAAGGATTGAATGAAAACATCAATAAAAATGCAGAGATTCCAAAACAAAAAAAAATGCCAAAGCGGGTTGCAATCTATTGCACAGGAGTTATTCGATGTGAGCAAGCTTCTAGTTTGCTCCTTGGCAAAGGTTTTAAGGAGGTGCTTTTCCTTTTGAGCCCTATCTACAATATATGATGTTTGTTGATCCATGCTCATGATGCTTTGCCACTATTTCTGCGGTAAAATTAATTTAATTCTTTAGGAGTTGTATCTAGTTGAAATTATTTGTTGAATATAAACTTGACCTTTAAAAGCAGAGATCTCTTCATCAATTTTCATTCAATCAAAAGAATGTGCCGTTTTCCCTTTTTAATTCGTGAAAGTGACCATGCTGTCATTGTTTTATGATTCTTAAATCTTTATCAGGTCTATCATTTGAAAGGTGTGATTTTGAAGTACCTAAAGGAAGTACCAAAAATAGAGAGCCTTTGGGAAGGTGAGTGCTTTGTGTTTGACAAGCGAGTCTCTGTTGAGCAAGGTCTGGTACAAGGAAATTTCAAGCTTTGTTATGGGTGTAAGCAGCCTGTTAGTGATGCTGACATGGAAGCACCTGAGTGGGAGTACGGGGTGTCTTGTCCCTACTCTTACTCGTCAAGTCTGAAGAGGAGAAACAGAGGGCATGGGTTTGAGGCTTGGGGAATTATTGATGGTCCGGCAAAGGGTCAGCGACCAACAGTAAAGCATAAAGAGTAACCTTTCAGCTTCAGTTTAGCTAGGCAGCGGACGATCAAACACGGTTGATATGTTGGAAGAATTAGTTCTAGGAGTTTATTTTTGCCGATCCTCTGTTCTAAATGCTTTCTTTATGCTTTCGAAGGTTACAATTAGCAGTTAGTGATTCATTGGATTATGTCCAACATTTTTTTGTATTAAATGAATGCTCAAATGAGTTAAATGTTAGGTCAAGATGAGGGTTTAGGATAGGACACTGTTTTGAACAGTTAAAGGTCGTTCAGACTTCATTAATGTATGTTGTAAAATGTCATTACCAAATATGGACCACAAACTTCATTGATTGAAATGTACACAAGAGAGCTCCATGCATTCTGCTGAACACAGTTTAATTTTCAGCTTTGTCCCGCATGAGCTATACTACTGCTATAGTCACGTTGGACACAGGAGACAAAAAAACCTTTCAGTCTAAGCTCTATTATGCTAATTTCAATGCATATTTTTTAGTTACAATGTCGAGAAAAAATATTTTTTCTTCTTTTATTAGAAAACTGGTTTGTGTTCCCATTGGAGTTTTTGGTAAATGAAATGCGTAAGCAAGGCAAGCTACCAAAAAAAAAAAAAAAAACTGTGAGAGTAGTGCTGAGCACATGGCAACAAACTGAGATGCGTTATAAACTGGTTGAAGTGATGCACACCGTCTGCGAGAACAATTGGAGGGTGCAAAACAATTGGTAGTGTGTAATATTAGAGTAGGAAAAAACCTTGAAAAGGGCATTAAAGAGTTGAACATTCGACATTAAACACAGACAGAAAACCATAATTATCGTAGAAATAGGTGTTTTTGACATCGGATTCGGAGGGATTAAGGAATGGCAGGAGAAGGGTCCATGTGCAAGTTCCTCAGGCCTAGGCTTCGCCCACAACCCGCGGACATCCAGGCCGGCGCTTAGTGGGGTGTCGCTGCCATCACCACTGCTCTTTGGCTCGTCCAGGTTTCTTTCCTTCCTTTGGATATTTGTTACTATACTATTATTAGATCCACAGGAAAAAATCTCTTTGATTGGTTATTTAGGGATTTCCCCAAATTTTTTTGGGGTTCTTTCGTTGTGATCAGTGTGTTTTCTTTTTTTTTTTTCAACATGTTCTGAATCAGAATGGTTTAATATCATCATATACTTTTGCCCATTATAGTTTTTGATAGGTTTAATGTTAAATTACAGTAAAATATTTAACGTCATATATAATTTTAAAATTTTTTAATATGTTATTTAAATTATAAATTTATTAATTAAAGATAATAGTTATTTTTAATGTGATTAATTTCAATTAATGACATATGACGAATAATGCTTTAAGTATAACGTTAATAAATAGATTTATAATTTAAGTATCATATTAGAGATTTTTTAAAATTTAAATATTACATTAAATATTTTATTATAATTTAAAGATTATTCATAAAATTAATCCATTTTTATATGTAGCAAGTGATTTGTCATGTTTATTTTACTTTTGCATTCACTTCTGCCTGCTTATGGTACCCTTTTGACTTAATAACTCTGTTTCTCCAAAACCTCATCTATCATATCTTAGTTCCAATCACATGTTCATCTGTTTGTTTAATAAGTTCACATACACAGATTCCCCTCTGTGACCCTTGTAAACATCTGATCTACAAATACTCAAAAAGATATATGTAACTGGCTTATACTTGTGAATGTTTGTTTGGTAATGGTTGTAGGTTGAGCTTGATTTGAACATTTAATCACTCAAGTGAAACTCGTTGAGATGCAACATGACCATATTTTCTTCTACTTTTGGTTGATTAATTAAGTGGATACTTATTGTTATTCATATTTGTTGGCAAAATTTTGAGAATTAGCATTTGTCTTTCCATGATTGACCTTTCCTATTTTTAACTGCCTCTTTCTTTTGTTTTAATTTTTATCCCCTTTGGTTTTTGAGATCCATGCATGAAAAGAGTGTAATATATAGTTGAATTTCTAATTTTTGTATCATCAGAGGAACAAAAATTATAATTTTTAAATTTTATAAGGGAATTTATATGCTTACGAATTAGCATGCATCTGTTTCTTTTTTTTTTTTTTTTAATTCTAAATAAATACATATAAATGTGATAATTTTATGAACTTGTTTTTTAATTGTAAATAAATACATATACATGATAAAATTTTTATTGGAATATAAAGAATTATTCCATAGATGACTTAAAATATATAATCATGATTTTTGCAGGAATAAAAAAAATAAGGGAAAGAATCCTTTCATTTAAGAGGAGATTAATTCAAATAGAACAAAAAGAAAATCCGTTGATGCACGTTTAAGATACTAGGCAAGAACAGCCCCCTCAGTTTTCTTGTTTCCTCTGCATCCGTTCCCCTGTTTTAAGATTTCTTTTTCTTGTTGTTTTCATGGATTCTGTTTCTGTTTTGTTTTATTTATTGAGATGATAGTTAACATGATGCTTGTATATCGGAGCCTGCAATGGAACAGTGGGAAAGGAAAATTCCGTTAGATCGGAGCCTGCAACTGCCAAGCTTAACTACGCCATGAAGGTGCAAGGGACAAGAATAAAGGTTGGTTGAAAAGAGGCAATTCTGTAGAGAATAAGGTTAAAAATATAATAAAAGAAGAGAGGCAAGCGAAACCTCCTCCAAAGCCGTCTTCTATGGACTACGGTAATGGCAGGAGGAAACTTGAGAACCAACAGCTCAAAGAGAAAGCTATATTTGACTGTCGGCGTAAGAATGCTCTAACAGCCACACAACCAATCAATTCAGGTGTGGTCGATGTGGAAGTCGGATGACAACCTACGCTCAAATGCAGACTCGGAGTGCTGATGAACCTATGACAACATCTGTAACATGTACAAATTGCAATCACCGTTGTAAGTTATTGCTAATGGAATGGTTCTCTTGTTGCCCCATTTTTTACTGAGTACCATCTTCTAGGAATGGTCATTAGGCTGCCACTGTTGTGTTTCAGCACTTGGTGCAGTTTGACTTTAGGTAAGGAGCTGTAATTAGTTTTTCTTTTTCTTGTTAATGAGTTGCAAGTTATGAAGCTTTTATCAGTAGGCATTGATTTTTTTTTTTTTGGGACTGGATCTTATATGAATTGTTATTTAAATTTTCTTTGCTGGTTAGGAAACTTTTGGTAGCACCCATACTTCCACTTTTGCTGTCTTCTATCTTTCACAAAATTGTGGATTTCATTGGTGGTGTTTTAAGCTCCTCATTTGAACCATAGGATCGTTTCTCAACATTTATTGAGCAAGTTGTTGCATGAATGCGACAGAAGCAGTATTTTCTTCAATAGCAGAACCTGCTAGCCAAGTGGGCTTGTGCCACATTTTGCCAGAGCAGAGGCGTTAATTGTGAAACTTATATCCAAAAGTTCCAACTGTTGGTTACTGTAAATACTGCTTGTGGCTTCTGAGCAAAGAAAATCCTGTTGAATCTGGATGGAATTCAATTTCCATATTATTTCTTATTAGACAATATAATTTCCAGCTAACTGCAGCCGTAAAGAGAACAAGATCAACAAGAGGAAAACCTGCCAGAAAGGTAAACGAAATCCTTGTATTGTTTTTGACTTGGAAAGGAGAATTGCAGGACAAACTAATGGCATAAGTTATCTTCACTAGACGAATCATTAGAATTACATGACAAAAATCAAGATTGTTGAGAATGAGAAGGTTTGCTGCGTGCCTTGAGAGCCCGGAAAACTCTGGAACTCTTATCAAAGATCTGGGCTCTTCTGTTGTAATCACTAGGCTCTCTCCCTTGGTCTTCCCCCATGATTGCTTCTATTTCCAAGCACTCCAAAAGCTCCACCATTCCCTTCCTTTCCTTGCACCTTTCTCTCAGCCTTCCCAGTTTCATCCACTCTTCTTCTTCTTCTTCAGGTTTCATCTCAGCTTCCGGTTCACTTTCTAATTCAGCCAAATATTCTGATTCCGAAGCCACACACCCGACTGCTAGTTCATGACCAAACCGATGCTTTAAACTTAAACCATCATTTTGCAAACCCCTATAAGCTGATGGCATCCTCAAATAAAATCTGTAACTTTCACATGGTTTTGTAAACTGTTTGACGGTCTTATTAATGGGTAGAGATGAACAAATACTCTGTATTCTTGTATAACATACAGAGGCTCTTTCCATCTTATTGACCACCAAACCAAAGCCAACAGAGAATTTTGCTCTCAAGTCTGAACTTGTTGTGTGGTTCAAATGAGCTTGTATTGTTTGAGATTTAGGTACGGTATTATATAGAGCTTGGGATCTGAAAAGGTAGCCGATCCCACGGCTCCACGTATCACAATTTGGTTGAATGCACACGAAACCGCAACCGCAACCGCGTGTCAAGTCGTGGATAGAGAGTTCGAGATATAAACTAGGTCCTAAATTCCTCGCAGAAAGGCACGCGATTCAAAGGCCAGAGAGTCCACGTCTTTGTCAATTCTGTCGTTAGGCCTTGTCCTTTTTACCGCTTTGCGTGCAAATTATCCAAGGCAAGGCGCAACAAGTTCCTCTTCATAAGAGAAAGAGGTTGCCGTTTGGAAGTTCGCATTCATTTTGTCAGTTACGTTCACGTAAACGTACGAGTTGCCAATCAAACTCTTGTGGAAAAAAAAAGACTATACTGATTACACTGAATCAAAACGTTAACCGAATAAATTGATCCCCATTTGCAAACCTTATTAAATTAGTTAAATACATAATTATGTGTATTCACTGCGATTGAAAAATCAAAGATCTAATGGGGAGAAAAATATATATACATATATTCTTATGTTCAAGGATGAATGATCTGTTGAAAAAACTATACCGGAATTGAACAATGGTTAGACAGCCTACAAATGAAATTCTCCTACCATTTCCACTACTGCTGGAACTCGTCACCTAAAGATTGCTCTAAATTTTTATTCGTATCCTCAATTAAAAAGAATGTCATGCAGCTGAGTTTTCCCTGAGTCTCCTCTCTGCTGCTATAGCAGCCGCCATGGAAGGAGGCAAGTGTCTCAGAGTTTGGCTTTTGGTCCGATTTTCATCAGTTTTTGGTATTGTGGATGATGGCACTGCTGCAAACAGGGATTCAAGATCTTTAAGTGTCAAAACAGGCTGATCTTGATTCCTGGTGTTCCCAACAAAGCCATTAGAGTTCCTGCTTCTGTTCAGTTTATATATGCTCTCTTCGACTGTGTTCTTAACCTAATATCAAAGATAAAAATGCAAATAAGGCCAGAAAACCATGTATGCAGAAGTCAATGATTAAAATTCACAAATGAAAATGAAATGAAGTAAATGTGATCTAGGATCTTAGATTATGCTGTTCAGATATGCAGAACTCAAAGATATAGTTCATTGAATGCCAATGTTTGACTAAAAAGCAGGGGAGAGTGTTGATACAAAGCCTCCTTAAATTTCAAAGAATGAATGCACATAAACTGAGAATGGGTGCTTGTCCAATGAGCTTATTAAGCAAAAGCCTTTTTCAGAAATTTAAAGGATGAACAAAGATATACCATGGAGTTTATAGTCACACATAACATTTATAAATACTAAGAAATGAAGAAACTCCAAAAATGAACCAAACCATTAATGTTGTTCTTATACAGTAGTCTTTAAGAATTGACCCAGAGCAATAAATGATAACAACGTATGATACATTAACAATAAAAATTATATGATCGCATGCAACAAAAGTGAACTTATGTCTGCCTGGAACACTAAATAACAACTTCAGATGTGCCCTTCAAATTAAAACCTATTTGGCACTAATCTAGTAACTTTGAGAAGGAAATTCATGTGCTTGTAGTATGATATTACCATATAAATTTCACAACTCAATTCTTGGGAGGAGAGATGCAGCCAGATATCTAAATGCAAAGTATAGAATTTCTATATGTGCTCTCCAAAGGCACTTGCATCGTGGAGACAAAACCATACACTCAACAAAATCCACACCCACGTACACCCAAAGGCAGCAACATGCACACACTCTAATCATATAATATCAATTATTAAATAGATAGGAGAGTACACATACTATAAAACGATGAACAAGCGTCCTCTTCTCCTGCCCAATTCGATGTACCCTGCTGATTGCTTGCGCTTCTACCGCAGGATTCAGTAGTGGTTCCACAAGAATAACATGCTGTGCCTCTAAAAGATTTAGGCCATTTGCTCCATGTTGGATCAAGAGCAATAACACTTGAACAAATTTGGGTTCTGGCTTCTGCATATGCATCTCCTTGATTCCTTTTCCACCAGTTTTTTGTCCTCTAAATTCACTGATGGCAACATGTGATTTCCTGTAATTGCAAATCTTAAAACTCAATCAATCTGATAATTGATTTCTTTTTTCAGATAATGACAGGGCACTAAAACATTCAAGTAGTCAGCTAATTAAACTGCAGTTTGAAAGCAGTAATTAAAGGATATAAACAGCCACTGCAGAAGAGCCAAGCTTTTTACTTCCACCATGACACGTCAGGTGCCTTGCATTAAAGTATATGAAAATATGAATTTGATAGGAACAGAGATTAAGACTTCTGCTCTGGCTGCTTGTTCTCCTTCCCTACTCTCTTTCTCTCTAGTATAAGGCATCCAGATCCTTCAGTCTTCTCTATTTCATGCTTTATGAAACTTAAAAAGAGGTTTGTATGAAATTCATAGCAATTATCAAAAAGTTTCTAAGCTTCACCTCTTGTACTAGGGTGGCACCTCTTTCGTGGCATTTTCATAACTCTCAAGGTATACAATCAACAAAAATATAGGAAAACAACAATCTGATAGACAAATGCTCTTACCTTCCACCTTTCATTCGGATGTAGGTAATGTCATTAGCGGTGAATGCATGTTCTAACACATCAAGAACATCATTCCAACTTGAGAAAACCAGAACTTTAGCTTTAGGGTCTGCAGACTTAATCCCCAATATCCTTCTAGCAACAGCTTCAATCTGTACAACCATCAACAAGAAGTTTACCATAATAATCATCTATATTTCTTGATGTAAATAACTTGTAGGTCTCTTTTTTCACCCTATAATTTTCAGTGTTATCATTTTAAAGAGGGGATCTTGGAAGGTAAAAGAACATATCATTAGGTAATTAACTTCCTGGATGAGGCATATAACAGAAATAAAAGTCTGAGTTTGCATGAGTAGGGTTCATTCAACCATATACCTAACAAAGACTAAACACACAGACACATTCAGGCAGAGAAACAATGTGGCAGCCAAATAGGACAAGTAGACTCAAGTTTATCCACTGGCAAAGGTTAGTTGACTGCTATGATTGAAAAACGAGGATTCAGGCAGCTCTCTCTGATGCATCCCGCCGCAGTGAGTCCATACAAATTGCAAAGATAAAATAGAAAAGAAAAAAAAGAGAGGTGATTGAATATATCTACAGAATTATGCTATTACAGAAAATACAGCATCCAAGATGGTAGGATAAAGAAAAATGTAACATATGAAAAGAATAGGAAAATATTCATTTGCATGTGAATGCTTAATAGGTATAAAAACCAAATAGATAAATAACATGCATGCCGCATGAGATGTTCTTTTTTTTGGAATTATATTTAGTCAGCTGTGGTGGCCGTTGCATCAAGTGAGGAGCAATGCACAAAAATACACTTGCTAAAGTAAAGCATGGTGTGGATTAAAATAAACAAAAAAACTAGCAGGAGTAATAAAATGCAATTATTCCATGCAAGTTATTCTACCATGAAAGAAGTAGTGCAATCTAGAAACAAAAAAGAAAAGAACACTAGGAATTGCACCTTCGTTCCATAGGAACCTTGTACAGTCAAGGATGCTTCACAATTGTCACCACCTTGAATGGTGTGAAGGATAGCAGAGTTAGGTGAAATTTGCCTATCATCTGCTAGAGCAATATTTACAACATCTGTGTGCTGTCTACATGTTGGGCACATTACCCATTTATTTCGAGACTTAGTTCCATGGCGTAAGCTTTGCTCAGTCATTGCAAATAAACCTGAAAATGTGAAGCATGAACTGCAAATGAGTCAAATGAAAAGTTCAAAGAAAATGAAATAAGATAAATCAATAGGATATAATAATGGAAACATGACAGGTCCCTAAAGTGGTGACAAACTGCAAAATAAAATAAAAAAGAATGGATATTGACAACTGATGAGCCACTATTTGTCAATTCAAGTAATTTGACAGAAAGGAATGGATATTGACAAGTGTGCCAAATGACATATCTTCCAATAAGGATTTTAGAAAATCTTTAGAAGAGTGAGAATACCAGAAACTTGCAAGAACCATATTATTAACTTTAAGGATGTGATATTTTTGGGAGGAAGTTATTCAGTCACCTCAAAATGCAGTTCACCACATAAGTGGAGAGAAAGGTTACTAGTCCAACAGTTCCCCATGTATGCTGAGGGGGGAAAAAAAACTAACAGCAACTGAACAACACAGATTTCTATGACTAGCTTGTTTCAGTTGTATGAGCTTTACAAAACATTGTTACATTACTTTTCATTGAAAGGTTAATGCATTTAATGCCAACATATTTTGAAACACTTCAAAGCAAATGGCTTTATGGCAGTTCAGAAATCAGGAGGGGAGATAGGGATGATGCAAAACTTACATTTACAGCAAGTAACATGTCCACATTGAAATACCATCTTTTGATTGCTTAGCCTTTCTTGACAAATGGGGCAAGCATCCTCATCAGCTTTAGGTACAAATGTACTTTTCTGTTCGATAGAAGTTGACATGGTAGACATATCTTGAGTTAAAGCGGAATTATCAGAACTTTCCATTGGCACCTTATTTTTGGATAGTACCAACCCCTGAAAATAATTTACGTAAAGTAGGTACAATAGCAGCAAATGAGTTTGTTATTTATATATGAAGGTGTGAAAAGGATAAAGTTCAACGAAGACAAATATATGGTATGCGATTTCCTTCGGCTAAAGCATACAAAATATCAACCATAAGATTACAAAGGAAAAAACTGTGCTGTACAAAGGGGAGTGGGAAAATAAAACTTGACTCTAAAGAATTTCCAGCAGACATTTTTGCAGTACCTTCAAATAACGAAGTTTCCCTTTGGTACTTGATAACAAAGTCATGGACATGAACTTGTCACTAGTGTTTTGCACACTAGCTGAAGCCAATTCATTTGGACTTAAAGCATCAATAGATTTGTCATTTTCAGATTCTCTTATGTGCAATCGAGTGGTCGCCATCTTGAGTTCATCATGCGCA